AAGGAGAAGAGCGAGTTCAAGCTGGAGCTGGATGACGTCACCTCCAACATGGAGCAGATCATCAAGGCCAAGGTGGGCCCTCTCGGCTGCCTCCCCCTCCTCCTCACAGCGGTGCCTTCCCGTCCTCTCTGCCCTCTCTTGTCACTCCATTCCCCTTTATTCCCCGTTGGTCTTCACCTCCTGTCTGCCCTGCCTCTCCATAGCCTTCACCTACATTTTTCTACTCATCTTCCCTCGATCCACGTCCCCTCCTCACACTGAGTCCCTTCTGCTCTGACTATGTGACCCCGTTGCTTGTCCCTCCGTGCTCTCTCCATTTCTTTTCTTCCTCTGCTCTGGGTCCACACGACCCCTCCTCCCTGCCAGTCCCGGCCCTTCCCACATTCCCCTTCCGTCTGCTCCTTGCTGCCCAAAGGCAAACCTGGAGAAAGTGTCTCGGACCCTGGAGGACCAGGCCAATGAATACCGGGTAAAGCTGGAGGAATCTCAGCGCTCGCTCAATGACTTCACCACTCAGCGAGCCAAGCTGCAGACGGAGAATGGTGGGTGCCCCTGACCATGCCCTAGCCTGCCCTCGGCAGGGCTTTGGTTGCCCCATTCCATGACCCAAGAGCCCTTCATTCCACCTCCAGGAGAGCTGGCGAGGCAGCTGGAAGAGAAGGAGGCGCTGATTTCCCAGCTGACCCGAGGCAAGCTCTCCTACACCCAGCAGATGGAGGACCTCAAGAGGCAGCTGGAGGAGGAAGGCAAGGTGAGGCCCCATTGACGACAGTGGCACAGGCTTGATGGCATCCCTGGACGTGACGTTAACTCCAGAGATGAACCTGGAAGCCAGAGACAGTCTATTAACCTGTCTCCCTACTAACGGACCCTCAAGGTCACTTAAGGACTCCTTATTTGTAAGGGAGAGAGGTAGGCAAATGAAAACCACTCAAAGACGTCGAGAATCCACTTCCTTTGGGCGAGTCTGGGCCTTGACCGACGTCAATAGACATAAGAATCTAGGGAATGGGGGTGCTGGGTTTGCCCCACTTCCTTAATGCCCACCTCTTCCCAGGCCAAGAATGCCCTGGCCCACGCACTGCAGTCAGCCCGGCATGATTGTGACCTGCTGCGGGAACAGTATGAGGAGGAAATGGAGGCCAAGGCCGAGCTACAGCGTGTCCTGTCCAAGGCCAACTCAGAGGTGGCCCAGTGGAGGACCAAGTATGAGACAGACGCCATCCAGAGGACGGAGGAGCTGGAGGAAGCCAAGTG